CCCCAAAACCCCAAAACCCCAAAACCCCTTTTTGATTTGATTAAATTGAAAAAGATTTAATCACTGATTTCTAGAATTTCTACTAAGATAATCATTTAAAAGCATTTTTGTACTTGCAAACACTAAGTTACAATGAATTTTAGGCAAATCCATAATGATTACAGACGCTTACACCCATTGCATTCAATATTTGATTACGAATACTTCACAGCAAGCTGCAAATCCAAAAGATTTACTATAGTAAATCTCAAAGATAATAATACTAATTTATATGGACATGCAGCAAGCCAAGATCTCATAACGTAAGCAACTCTTTCAACTAAAATTACGCAAACCTTGGTAAGAGCTGTAAGCTCTAATTTAGCTTAATCATAACTGTAACGATATTTGAGAGGAAAATAATCTGTAGGCAATGAGGATACCAGGATTAGGATTCAATGAATAACTACAAAAGTGCAAGCTGATGGAGTTTATAGGGTAATTCTGGGGGAACTGCGATTTGATAATTGGATAGTTTGAGTGAAGAGTAAAAGGTAACACGAAGATGTGCTGATTTGGAAATTTTTGGGTTTTGAGGGTTACTAGGGGATATAATAGCACCCTTTCCCCACTCTCTTCGTCTACGGCCCAGCTTGTACTATCACCAGTACAAATTCCCTTAACAGACACTACAGTTGATAAAACCTTCTGCGCTATTGGAAAGAACAAGTATCTTCAAATCAAATTACACCAAATGTTTATTTAAACCTGCTTAACTGTGCTTGCACATGGTCTCTTTCAGCTTCCTTCCTAGATCTAGCCTGCTTAAATCTCTGAACTTCTTCAGGCTTCAGGCTAGAACCAAGAGGTTGGCCTACTATACTTTTGGAAGAATGAGCAACTTGGACTGGAGCGGTTGAGGGAGGTCTGAGTGGAGAGTTTGGGGCTGGGACAAGAGGGATTTTGGGAGATTTTACTGGGAAGGATGGAGGATTTGGAACTTTTTGAATTGGGGGTTGAGTGAGAAGGTTGGTTTTTGGTGGGTTAAGTTTGGTTCTGAGAAGTGGAGTTTTAGGATTTGGGGAAAGGTTTTGGGCTTGAGAGGGAGAGGATTTGGGGAGAGAGTAAGCAGTTTGGGATTTGTAAGAAGTGGGTTCTGGTTTTGAGACCTTGGTTGCTGGTAGTTTGTAAGAAGCTTTCGTTGTGGATGAAGTTACATTCTTTTTAGAGGAAGAAGCTTGAGGCTCAGGAGTCTGAATTATAGGAGAGGATGAATATATTTTTGATTTAGGTTGATAAACAGAAAGTTCCTTCAAACCAATTTCAGCTTCATATAATATAGGTTGAACTGTTCTAGCTGGGGGAAGTGTCTTTCTCACAGGATAAACTTGGGAAACTTCAGCTACTCCCTGAGCTTCATATGATGCAATCTCCAAGCTAGGCTTCATAACTGGCTCAACAATAATAGACTCTGGTATATGTGCAACAACTTCTCGAGGCTCTATCGCCTCTACTTTTACAGGCTGACTGTGAACCTCTCACTGTTCTCTCTGAGTCTTTGTCCATTCATCTGCAGAATTGGCGCCATTGATCGGAGTATACCCTTGTCTCCACCACTGCTCCGGGACTTCATAGTCTTCCAGCTCAGGGATGTAGCCTGGAGTTCTTCGCCAGTCCAGTGACTCTCAGTCACCGTAGCCGTCTCTGTTGTGGCAGTGGTGATGGACTACTTTGCGTCTGTCGTCAGGAGCCAGGTGGTCTGGCTCGGTTGTTCGTGGCCCTTCAATTGCTTGCTGAGTTGGATTTTGTTGCGCTTGAGACTTCGATTGTTCATGAGCTGATTGTTGGTATATTGTGGATGCTTGTGTCTGGATAGTGTTGGCAGCTTTGTGAGCCAGATTGGACTGTGTTGGTTTCGAAGGAGCCTGCTGAACTTGGTGCTTATGAATGGGCCTATATCATTGATGATGAACAAGCTGTGAGCAAGTCTCACTATCAGAATACTTACTGTACTGACTTGGTTTGGGTCACACTCGTAATTGAATCTGGGACTGGGTTATCTGTTGGTGCTAAGATGATTCTCCTTGGAACAACCTGAGGTTCAGTTTGTGGTCCAACCTGACTCAGCTCTGGTGTTGAAATTGGAGTGGGTTCTGGAACTGGTATTGGCTTCTCGCCTGGGGCCAGAGTTATTCTTGGAGCTACCATCATTGGCTCGTGCTGTTCGTTTTGTGTTTGTGTCTGAGGTTTTGTTGGTTCTGACTCAGGATGAGCCTCTGGTCTTTCTGAAATATCTTCTCTCTCTAGTGCAAGATGGACATCTACAACAGGCTCTAGAATTTGACCAGAAACTGGCTCAGTCTGAGCATGTACTTCAACTTGCGTGGTCGACTGAGGCTTAATGTTAATACTAGGCTGAACATACAAATCAGGATGAGCTTCAGCATCTACATTTACCTCATCCTTTGTTGAATGATCAGCATCAGTATAGGCTTCAGCTTCCAAGTGAGAATCAACTTCTTGATCAGAATCAGTTTGTGTTTGGATATTTACCTCTGCATCCGCTTCTGTATAAACAGGTATTATTGGCTGAGGTTTGCCTGCTGATTCGAATTTCCTGGTTAGTCTAACTTGTTCTATTGGTTTTATTGATTGGAGTGGTTCAGACATTGCTGGGATTGTACTCGGCCTCGTAGGCATCTCAAAGATCCTCGGAACACCAGAGTGGTCGTTTGGGTCAATCGTTGTTGCAAAGATCTTACCTGGCTCTGTAATTCCGATAGGCTGCACTCTTGGCTTTGGTTGCACTGGTCTATTCGAGGTAGTCGTCAAGTCATCGTTCAGAATTATCAGGTCACCATTGAATCCAGATGGCTCCATTTGTAATGTGAGCGCGGTGCCAGAACTGTGCATGTCCTCAGAGCTAGTCTGGCTTGAGTCCCACTCAGTGGCTGTAGACTCTTCTGCTTGAGCAGACTCTGGAGTTGTGGTACTTTGAACAATCACAGAAGGAGTTTCAATTATGGTTTCTTCGACTTCTCCACCACCTCTGAAATCAGTTGAATCTGTAGAGCCATGAATGCCTGCAAGATGTTCACTAGCATTGCTCGCTGCTGTCTCAGTGTGAGAGATGGCTTCTTCAGCTAACTCGGATGCTTGCTGTGCAACATGGTGTGCAGCATTCTCTTCGTAATGTTCTTGTGAATGTTCTTCTGAATAATGTGGGATTCCAACATCGCTTGATGATACAGCCTCAGAACTAAAACCAGACTCATGAACAGATCTTGCTGAAGATCCGCCTGAGATACTTTCTTCACCGCTGGCTTCAGTATTGACGTCGCTGCTTGCTGTGTCATCACGCTGGCTTCCTGAGCTCACATTGAGCACCTGCAATATCTTTTCATGGGTCGAGCGGGTGGGCGCTTCTTTGAGAACAACGATTCCTCTCTTAGTCACGACCAAGAACGGAACCGTCGTCACACCATACGACTCCTGGACCCCTCTGAGGTTCTCGTTGCTGATGTCTACCTGTATGAGTGCAGCATCATCAGAAATTTCTTTCTCAATCTCGGCCACTCTCTGGTGTGATGCAGAGGGTTCTTCGGCACCACTGAATATATGAGTTACCGAAGAAACCACTCCAGATAGAAACCCGCTACCAGCTTGATCAGCAGCAGAGCTATCAATGAAGAGAAGAGCAACAGTGACATCTTGGTTGAGTTGGAGGAAGCGGTTGACATCTTCGAAGCTTTGGGCAACTTCGATTTCTGACTTTACTAAAATTCATAGAATTATCACTAGTATTATTGTCTGTAGAGCTTTCATCTTACCCATATAGAATAAAAATAAATTATTTTGCTATCTTTTTATTTACAAAAGGGGTTTTGGGGTTTTGGGGTTTTGGGGTTTTGGGG